TAAGATATACAAAACAAAATTTTAAACTTAAGGACTATTTACAAAACTGACAGTTTTGAAAGCAGGAAGAAGTGTTGTACAACACAAAACTGGAAACTGAGAAAGGGCAAATTTAACTGATTAATACCTAAAACTTGGGAGTTAATTCATTGTCAGAACAAGTAATTTCTTGTCTGCCAAGACATCAGAATTTCCAAGACATTAGGAAAACCAAAAGAAAAAAAGGGCTCTCTTTATCAACTATGAAATTACTTAATTAAAATTGTACAATTTACAAATAGTATTTGAGGGCAAATAAAGTACTTAACTTTTAAGTGTTCACAACGCTATAAAACTTAGAAGATATACATGTCAAAATACTTCATAATTCATAAAGTCTTTCAAGTTCATTTCACATAGGGACCAATTATACCCACTTTTAAGGTCCCCTTTAATGTTTTAGCTTCAAGCAGTATGTTCATTCTTTCCAATAAAAGAACCCTTACCTTTTACAGCATGCACTACTTTTTGCAATCCGTTCTGATCTTTAGAGAAGTTGGAATGAGATATATAGTGTGAAATCTAATTAGTTCTTTTAAATCTTGATAATGGGAACCTCATACTTTCTCAGAAAGCACATATGTTACCAACATCTCAAAAGCTAAAGAGCCTTTTGTAATTAGAAAATTATTTTCATGTGTTACAACTTTGTTTTGCAAAATTAAAGATGCTGTGCTAAAAAGATGGGAACCAGGAGAAAGTACCAAAGAATGAGCATTAGTTTACCTCAAAAATAATGCAATTACCTATTTTAGAACATAAATCAGTTTTTCCAACTCATCCTTGTTTCTTTCAACCTTCACTGACTGCAATTACATTTCAGAACACTCTATATAAAGTTCAAGCATTCCATAGGTCACCTTGTGACTTAGAAATTTTTCAGATCTTAAAAGTCAGTGTAAACAGAGCTAGAAAAATACAAAAATTTAACTAGTATAATCTCAGAAAATATTTTCAGGAAGATTTACATGGCCTAACTTTGATGTGGTATAACTAGCAGACAAAACAAAATTCAAAATTCAAAAAACAAAATTTTTATAATTCAGCCTATGGAAGATTTAGCCTTAAATTATAATATGCCAATACATAATATAAAATGCATGAAGCAAAGTCTAACAATAAGCAAAAAAACAACCAATTTAGTATCTGCAGTTTCTCAAGTACATGAAAGTACTTAAAATAACACTCTGCTGCAAAATTACAGCTAATTTCTAATTTATGTACAACAAAATATTTACCAATTCCCTACTAGTCTTATTAGGAAATGTCAAAGTGTTTACTCTATATCTAAATTTCCTCTCCTAACAGAAGTGATATTTTATAAAGTAATTCAAGAACACTTCCACCAAGGCCAAAACATTAACCTCAGAACTCACTGTAGGATTTATGGGTCAGTCTGTTTGGTTTTACTGTGTTTTGTTGTGGGGGGAGGCGAGCTACTTTTGTTTTGGTTTTTTGATTATAAACATAGATTTTATGTTTTCATACATGAATGATATGTAAATGATACATGAATAATATAGTAAACTGAATTCTAAAGATATATTCTTTTGACCTCCAAAAAAAACTCATCTTTCTATCTACACACAGAAGTTAAGGTATATTTTTAATCAATAATACAACAGTTTATTTTTATATTTAAATATCTCGCTAGAAAAAAAATCAAAAATTAAATTGTTTAAAGAACACAAGTCTTACCGAAATATTAAATTACACAACAGATACTGATAATCCAGCATATTTTCAAAACAAATAGGACTGCCTGGATAACAAAGAAATTCAGTATTATTTACCTTTCCCCCATATGGGTAAGGCACGTCAAAAAATATACCAGCAGAGGGGGCGCCTGGCTGGCTCAGTTAGAAGAGCATGCAACTCTTGATCTTGGAAGTTTTGAGTTCAAGCCCCATGCTGGGTGTAGAGATTACTTTAAAAAATCAAATTAAACACACACACTCACGCGCGCGCACACACACATCCCCCAGCAACTATCCAGAAGGCATCTTTAGAAGATCCCTCACAGAATTCTAGTTTATGACTCTCTAACATGGGACAAGTTCTGTCCCAAGTTATTAAAGAAACAGTAATACTTTAAACGCACAATTCCGTCAATATAACATAAGAATTTATAATTTTGATGTACTTTTTGTTTCAAATTTCTGACTGGTCTGTAATTCACAAGTTGTTGCACATGTCTGGCTACAATTATCAAAACACAGCTCTCATCGACTTTCTGAATATGGTAGTTTAAAAACTTTAAAAATCTAGCTGCAAGCTATTAATGTATCTCTTAATCACTCTTTTATTCCCAACAACTTTTAACAAGAGAAAAACACTTGAAAACTGTATTAACAATGAGAGATTAATAAGCAAATGCCAACCTGAGAGTAGTGTAGTTGTTTCTTCAAAAACTAAACAAACACCCTAAGAAAAAGTAGTCATCTTAGATAGGCTAGGTCCACCTCTCCAAACTCTGTGGCATTTCAAGAATACAGTTTTATGTTAGGTTTGTATTATACTTAAGCCATTTGAAAGTTACAAACCTTAAGGCCTTTACTTGTCTAAGATCTATTTTTCAAATGTATATTCATAATTAAATAAAAGCTTCAATGTACCTTATGTCAAATAGGTATTTAGAAGATTTATCATATTCAATCTAAATTCCACAGGTAGGGAATGGTTTTATATATATATATGATATATATATAATTTCTAAAAATTCTTGTCACTGTCACACAGAAAGTCTTCAGCACTTGACAAATTCAAAATATAAATGTATGAATGTTACAGACTGTACCCAATAGCTAAGTTTCTTCAAATACATATTAACAGTTTTAAGAGCTATGGCATGGAAATAGTAGAAATCAGTACACTAATAAACTGAGGTCTTTAAAATAAGATAATTTTTCAGTGTTAATGCTACAATTAAATACAAAAATATTTGGTTACACAAGTATACCCTAGGATTCTGGAAAACAAAAACTTTAAGTTTTAGATACAGTAATTCCTCTCAGTAGATACCAGAAGCTGACATTTATGAAGAAGTATACAAAATTGCACAGGTGAAAGCTATAGACTGAAGCAAATACTCTACAGTACATATCTACAACCCAATTTTGCTTCAGCATCCCCCAGAGACTTAAAAAATATTTCTTTGGGTAGGTTGCAAAACATTGCTTCCTCTTTTATTCTCATCACCCCCATTATGATACAAAGCGACAGACAAGAAAATCAAATCACCAACTGTAAGGGCTGAAAGCTTCGAAACACATAAAAAAGCATCTTCTTTCCACTCCCGAATCGGTATTCATTCCACCTGTTTGTAAATCCATACAAACACAATAACACAATACCTCTGCCGATTTAAGAACGGGGGGGGGGGGGGGGCAATTAAGGGTTTGAAGTCATTCTTCTTCTACCTAGGCTGGGGCGGGGGAGGGGGATGGTACAAAACAATGGATACTGAGGGGCTGGGGGAAAATCGCTTGCTCCCGAAGCCTCCAGCGTTAAAAGCTTGGGGGGTGGGGGGGGGCGGGGGGAAGGAGGGGAGGAGATAGAGTACTTTGCCTCTATTCCTAAAAGCTACCGCGGAAACAGGCTGCCACCAAGCAAGTCCAACAGGGCGGTCCTGGATGCCCACAACTCGCCTCACCAGGCAACAAACCCAAAGCCAACTCTCCACTCTTCACCGAAACGACAGAAGGGGAGAGAGTGGTGGGCTTTGGGGAAGGGCGAGGAAATACCCCACCCCGCACCACTAGCACTGCGCCAAGGCCCCGACCAACGATTTACACGCCGCCCGGACGCCCACGGGGCGCCCCGCAGCCTGAGCCAGGTGCCCCCGGGGGCAGAGCGGAGCAGGGCCATCCGCCGGGCGCCCCCGGCCCGCGCCCTCTCGCCGACTCGCCCCCGCCTACGAGCTGCCCCGGCCGCCCGCCGCCACCGCAGGCCCGGCCCCGGCCGCTGTCAGAGCCGCCCGGCTCACTCTCGGAGACCCGCTGCGGGCCCCGCACGAGAGCCGGCTCCGAGGGCCGGGCCCTCCCTGCGACAGGACCCAGGAAAGAGGCGGCGGCGGCGGCGCCTCCCAGGGCCCCAGCCCCTCGGGCCTCGCCCCGGCCCCGCCGGCTCTATCCCCTCAGGGCGCGCGGGGCCTCCCCCAGTCGACAGCCAGCTGGACCGCCCGACGGGTAGGAACGAAAGCAGGAAGAACCCACCAACAACTACCCTCCCGCCTCAGCCGCCCGGGGTTACCGTCAGGAGCCCCAACTCCGCCATCCTCCGCGCTCGCCCTCCTTCCTCCTCCTCCTTAGAAGCGACGCTGCCCAACCGCCGCCCCCCGCCCGCCCCTCCCCCACTTGCCCCGCCCCGCCCCGCCCGCCCCTCCACACACTCTCACTCCTACGGCCCCGCCCCACCCCTCCGGCTCAGGCCCGTCACTCGCCGGAGAAGAAAAACAGGCGGAGCCAAGCATACTGACGCTGCCCAATCAGAGTGAGGCACTGGCGCCAAAGACGCTGCCCAATCAGAGAGAGACATTGGAGCCAGCTTCCCTTGCTCCGCCCTTTTCCTTTCCTCGGCTGCTCTACGCCCTCTCCCGCCCACTGGGCGCCGCTGGCAAGCCGAGCCACAGAGTAAGCCTCCAACAGGGTAGAGTGACAACTTGCAATCGGAAGTTACTGTTGAAGCCAAAGCAGCCATAACTGATAATGGCAGGGAGTTTCCTGGCCTCCCGTCTCCAGTGTGACGTAGTTTTCCCTTCGCCCAAATCTCACCGTTGCCCTGGGCAACAGTCGAGCCGTCTGGGAAGATAAATCTGTAAGTAGGCCCGGAAAAGGACCAAAGGTGATCAGACATCCCAGGTTAGACAACTTACTTCATATTTAGAACTACCTGCCCGGGATGGGGAAGAGGAAGGAGCAGGTTTCCTGGCCCTTATTTTGCTGGGACGTCTGGTCACTTACCTAGGTGGACAAAAGGTTAGGGTTCCGAAAATCCCTGTCCTGCCCGGAAGTTGCATTTGGCACTTCTGAATGGGGTCACGGCGGAAGGGTGGGAATAGCCAGAGACCCCGGCACCACCGGGAGTGCCCATTCCAGCTGGAGTCGCAAAGTGAGATGTGGGTCCGTCTGCCTAGTCCGGTGAGGCAGCCCACAGCTAGACGGCCGGTGGGAGACGGAGAGCGAGGGGGTGACCAGGGCTCACAGCCGCTTCCGCTGGAAGAAGGTTTTCTTTCCGGGCTGGCCTGCCCGCCCTACCCCCGCCCGTCTGAGGTTCCCTGTGGGGCGAGGCCGCTCCACCGGCCCCTCGCGCCCAGTTGCAGCCAGCCGGGTAAGGAGGGGGCTTAGGCTCGCACCGCAGGGCACTCCCGCAAGATGGAGCTCCTGACCTCGCCCTTTAAGTTCCTATTAAGTGCTTCCACCCTGATCTTTGGAGGACAGAGAATTCTGGAGCTTGAGGAAATCGTTTTCCATTACTACCTAGAAAGGAAGGAGGTGGTCCTGCACTGCAGCGGCAACACTTCTAAGTCTTCCTTCCCCGCCTCTTGTCTTAACATTACGTTATTCCTTTTGTTTCTCTTTTGGGGGCTTAAAACCAATGACTGCGGTGCTAGGTGAAGCTCTACCGTCCTAATCCTCCACGCCTACGTTTTATTAAACAACTTAATGCCTGTGAATATTCATAAAAGTACCGTAAGCCTTTTATATAGTTCAAGAGTTGTTACACTTTATCTCGTGTAGTTCCTTCTGTAGGCTTGAGTCAAGAACTGTAAGTCATCTTGGTCATACTGGGTTGGATGCCTAACGTTGCCAGAAAAAAGACCAGGAGAACTTTCAGGTAAATTGAAAATTGTATTTACCCAGCCAGTCAACAAGGGTGCAAACCTAACTTCTTTATTTCTTTCTACTTCCATACTACTCATGCTGTATTCAAAATGAACTATTCTTGTTTCTTCCGAAATTAATCATTGAAGCACTAACCTTTCATGACTCTTGTTTCCATGTCCTAGTTATCCTTGGAGATGTGTTTCCAGATTCTCTCCCAACAGGAAGTAATTTCCTCTGTGCTTACCTAGCATTTTTTGTACTTCTTTTATGACAACCACTATTTCATATAACAGCTGCTTATGTTCTTAGCTTTACTATGTTTACATCTAAATAGAATGGTTTGCCTATTAGGTGGATCTATCCTCCCTATCATGTTATTCTGATCTTGATATTATTTTGGTAAATACTTTCTAAAAAACTGAATATATTTCGTGTTTCCCAGGTGCCCGAAACATTGCCAGCTTCAGTTGATTAAATTCAGTGTAGTTCTTGTTACTCAACCTTTTCTTAGATTTCCCTTCTGAAGTCTTTCCAACATGATTTCTTCCCTCAATTAAAAAAAATCATACATAAAAAAGTCGAAATAATACAAAAAACATTCTTATACCCTTCACCTAGATCCAGCAGTTAACATTTTGCCATATTTATTTCATCCCTTTTCATGCTTTTTTCATTGTCATTAAACTATTCGGTAACAGGTTAGACACTTGTTAAGCAGACACCTCTAAAATTTCCAAAATGTATTCCCCAAGAATTATAAAGTTCCCCTGCAAAACATAGTATCATTATCACAACTAAGGAAATTACTAATTCTGTGTTATTTAAAATCTAGCCTGTATGTGTATTCTCTCATTTGACCCAAGAATATCTTTTATACCTTTTCCCCTGCTCCTCCAACAAAACTTAGGATCCAGTCAATGTTTATGTCATTGTCATTTTAAAGAGTTCAGGCCAGAAGTATTTTCAGTGTTTCCTTTTTTCTTATTCCTTATAAGTCTTAACATATTTTGCAAGAATATTCATAGCATTCATACTTTAGCCAATCATGATTACGCCTTCTCAAAAATAACTGTAACTACCATTGTCATGCATTGTTAGTTAAATCCATCCCACTTCTCTGCACACACAGCCTTCTATGGTATCCTACAATGGAGAGTTTAATATTTAATCCTCCTGTCTGTGGAGAGTAAGTGCCAGTGTCCTGGGCTGATTGTCTCCCTGTAGTAAAGTGTTGCTGCTACTTCGCCAGCACTTGGAGCTGATGTGATATAATCTGCAGCAGTGTACTGATGTCAGCACAGTTTCAGGAGTGTCAACTCCTGGCACCCTGAGGACTGTTGATGAAAGATGTGTGGGCCCTGCAATTCAAATACAGATGAATCTTGATGTTATCAAAGCAGATACCAAGGCAACTGCTGGCCATCTGGTATTTTGTGTGAGTAGGATGTGTCATTTTCTATTAACTTAATAGTAGTGTCTGCTGGTGAAGTATACCAGAACCGGTGGCATCATCCAAATTCATCCAAGAAGAACAGTTCCTGTTCTTAGGCCTAGGCACAGTTCAGAAGCTAGACACTGCACATTTTATTCACATGAGTCTAAATTAATTAGCCAAATTGAACATGTTGCAACATTTTTCTGCTAGCAGATGCCAGATAGCAAAACAGAATAGAACTACTATAGTTTCTAGCCACATGACATATGATGCTATTTGGCATCTCCAGATGAATATTATCAGTCCAAATTAAGCTCAGCTAGCATGTGGGCAGCCACTTGGGTGAGAATGAACATTACTACTTTATGTCTGCTGAAAAACACTTTCTTTTTAGGCCCCCTCTTTCACCTTTTCTTCATGGTAGTTTACATTCAGAAATCTAATACACATTTGAAAATTCACCTGTCAATCATAAGTCTTGAGTAAAACAAAATGTTTCATATTTTTCCTACCATTCCTGCCACCCCCATCCACAACCTGTAATAGGCAGATTGAATTTACTTAAAAGGATCTAAATTAGTAAATACTCACCAAAAAATATCCTTTGTTGTTCTTTACATAAACAGATTGCTTCTGGTACCTCCCTTAGTTCTCAAAGATTGTATTTTTGTTTCTTAATACCTATTAATGATAAAACGGCATTTGCATTTGGTGTATTATAGTGGTTCTGTATTCTACTTAAGTTGTGAAGTCAAGGGTCTTTAGCAGTAGGAATAGTAAGGGAAAAGGAACAATAGGCAGTAAAGGGGACTACACAGCTCCCCATGTTCATCTAAATGGGACATTACTTCCCAGCTCTAGCCCGATTTTGCCATGCAAGAATATGGGCCCAGTGTTGCCAGATCTGTCAAGAGGAGCAAATTTGGACTTTATGTGAAACCTTCCTATTTTAAAACATTGGTTCAAATACTTTTTAAACATTTAGCAAGCCAGCAAAAATTTAGCTGCCAGAAGTTTATCACCTATGTTTCTTAAGTGAAAATAGTGTTGATATTTAGATTAGAATCTGAAAATACGTTTTTTGCCCCCAAAAATTTTTGCCATATTTCAGGTGCATTTATTTTTCTAGGTTAGGCAACAAGCCATTTGTCACCTCCATCAAAAATTCAAAATAGATTCTTAAGTACACTAAGCTTCCATTCCCTCAGTTAGAATTTTAAACATTTTTACTCTTTACCACCAGCTTAAAAACTTATCCACATTTTCTCAGCCTTGAATTATATTATGAAATAGATTTGCTTTATCATACTTTCTTAGAAATATATTTAAGAGGGGTGCCTCAGTGGCACAGTTAGTCAAACATCCAACTCTTGGTTCAGCTGGACTTGTGAGATTGAGCCCCCACATCAGTCCCCACACTCATAGAGGAGTCTGCTTAAGATTCTCTTCTGCAGGGGCGCCTGGGTGGCTCAGTCAGTTAAGCATCTGCCTTCGGCTCGGGTCATAATCCCAGAGTCCTGGGATCGAGCCCCATGTTGGGCTCTCTGCTCAGTGGGAGCCTGCTGCCCCCCCAGCTTGTACTCTCACTCTCTAATAAAAAAATAAAATCTTTTAAAAAAAGATTACCTTCTCCTTCTGCCCCTCCCTACTTCCGTGCATGCATGTGCACTCCCTCTCTTTCAAAAAAATAAATAAATCTTTTAAAAGCGTATTTTTCAAGAGCACAGTTTGGCAGCACATGCTTTTTAAAAGTAAATAAATATGACAGGTTTTTAAAGGAAAACATCTTTCAATAGCTCATGCTATCTTACAGGTACTATAATGTTGATAAGGAGTCAAAGAATTTTTAGAGTCAAAGGTACTTAATGGGAAATCTAGAACAGTCTGCTATCATATCCTTATTTTATTTTTTTAAAGATTTTATTTATTTATTTGACACCGAGAGATCACAAGTAGGCAAAGAAGCAGGCAGAGGGGGAGGAGGAAGCAGACCCCCTGCTGAGCAGAGAGCCAGATGTGGGGCTTGATCCCAGGATCCTGGGATCATGACCTGAGCCAAAGGCAGAGGCTTAACCCACTGAGTTACCCAGGAGCCCCTATCATATCCTTATTTTACAGTGATACGAAAATTAAACCTGGAATAATAAATGTCACACTATATTTCTAAGCATTTTTACATCTACTTTTTACTTGAACCTTGCAACCCAAGACAGATACTAAACGTGCTTTTTATGAGAAAATCAAACCTGGAATTGGTTTAAGAAATGTATTCAGGGTCATGCTAGCTAGCAATAGAGCTAGAGTACAACCCTGTATCCCATTTCAAGTATAATGTGAAATAGATGAATCCAAAAAGAAAAAGAAAAAAAAACCCTCCAATACAAGTTTCTGTTTTAAATCATACATTAGATTTTACTATCACAGCTTGTTTAAAATACTTGGAATCCTAGAATACTCTAAAGCATTCAATTTCAAATTTTAAAAAATGGAGTTTTGTACAATTAGGATAAGCTGATAAGTTTAATATAAATTGGGGCGCCTGGGTGACTCAGTTGGTTAAGCAACTGCTTTTGGCTCAGGTCATGATTTCAGGGTCCTAGGATAGAGCACCACATTGGGTTCCCTTCTCCGCAGGGAATCTACTACTCCCTCTGCCCTCCACCCCGCTTGTGTGTGCTTTCCTTCTCAATCTCACTCTCCTCTCTCTCCCTAAAATAAATACATAAAATCTCTCTCTCTTTTAAGTTTAAGATAAATTAGTGGAGGGGAAAAAGAATTATGGTGCAGAGCTAATAGCAAATTAGGAGTGGTGGGCACATACGGAAGATAACCACACTGATCCACAAAATGGCTCCATGGGGCTCCTAACAAAGATCAAATATTGGATTAAGACTTTAGTATGACCTAGGAGGACAGTTTTAAAAACATCCAAA